CCCCAAAACCCCAAAACCCCAAAAGATAAAAAACGGTGATACCATTAGGAAATAAAAGATGAACTGTTATTATGAATAGTATATATTTAACTAAAATATTGGAACCAATTGATACTTCTTAAAAATCAATAAAAAGACAAAGATTAGGCAAGTTTAATTTCTATTTTACCCAAAGGGAATACTGAGAATGTGGTATCTTGATATTTCACCAAAGACATAATCAAAAATTGCATTTCGATTGCTATATATTTTGCAGGAAATGCACATTTAAAAGTAAGTGCATTTATTGGTTAAATATTATATCCAAGAAATATGCTAGAAGTAAGGAATCTAAAATAAGCCTAAATATACAAGAGATATAGGACAAAGGAAATATAGAATGTAGACTAGGAGATAATTACTATAAAACAGAATAGCATGGCCGAATTAAATCAAAATACGGTAACGGTGTAATGCATTCAACATTAAATAAGTACTAGAATAATATAGCCGCCAGAATTAAAAAGGAGGGACTCAATATTAATAATTTTAATATGATGAAGCTTAGACCCTTAAACTCAGAAAATAGGAAAGATTAAACTTGTTCTAAATCAAGAAAGAGAATCCAAAGCAAGTTAAATTTAAAGTTACTATCAATGAATGCTAGGGGTATGCAATCGAAGTTTATGGGAGAAAAAATCTGGTAAATTATTTAAAATCAAATTCATGATTGAAAAAATGATTCCAAGAATGATGACACACTTAACTAAGCTTTGTTAAGGAGGTGGATATTGGCTTGGAGTTAGAGATTATAGGAGGTTTATCTTAACTTACTAGCAAAATATAATACTCAGTAATAAAGTTAATGTCAAGAGTCCAATGATCCATGCCATCAAATGCTACTTACCACCGCAATATTTTGAAATAGTCGAAAATAGTAAAATGATTGAAAATATTGTGGTAAATTGCATACTGGGACAATTCCAAATTGCAAAAATAATAATCTAATGAGACTTTGACACAAACATATTGAAAAAGTTTACAAAATTATTAGTAGTCTTGGTATTAGAGGGGTGATACCTAAGGGTATGTGAACACATATAGCGAGTTATCATCTTCTTTAATCTCCAAATAATCTAATATTAAATGCTAGAAGATATGAAGCTTATAACAGATCATAGTTTGTTTCTCGTAAAACTTTAGTTTAAAAAAAAAAAGATGATGACTACAATTCATTATGTACCAAAATAGATAAGAGTAAAATAGATTTTAAAAACAATGATGGATCAATAGATAGTAAATATGATATAAGAAACTCAGAATTTTTTATGACAAACCAAGTAGAATTATCAATTGGTGCCCTGCAGAGGATTAAGCATTGGTATAATCCACGAAAGTGATGGAATTTTTATAAAGGTAATAATTCTAGCGATAATGTAAAAATATTAGAATGGAAAAAATCATAGAACAAATTAACATTGCCGATTAGGATAATCACAATAAGTAGTTTTGCAAGCTTGATAAGTAAGCATCATAAATCAAAGGTAACTTGATCCCTGAAGGCTAGAGAAGTTGATGATCAAGCACTATATGAAACAAATAGAGTTAACAAAGTAGCAAAGGAGTACTATGAGAATACATTCATGAAGCAGGAGGAATTACATCAGATTACTCTATCAGATAAATACAGGGATGCTGGTAATATGCTAATTATCATAGAACATATAATAGAAGGTATTTAGTAATGCAAATTTAATAAAGGTATAGAAAATAATGGGTTTAATGGAAAAGTTTTTACAAACGATTTAATTTGGGAAAATCCAATTAGTTTTCTAATAGAATGGTTTAAATACGATATTCACATCATAAATATGCAAAGGTAGACATGTATTAATTGCCATAACCTAAAAATAAGTTGCTTAAGTAAATGGCACAAGACCTATTTGTGTACTTTGACATATAGAAAAATCAATTAAAAACGTACTAATAAACATGATCAAGTAATTAGGAAGTAGTATTTTAAGATTGATAATAACTAATTTGGTTTTAAAGAGATTAAATCTACTCTTATAGACCTACAAAGATAGTCAATCACATTACATTAAGTCAATAATGTAGATAAAAACGTAAAGAGTATCTCTCGTGGATTTATATAAAGCATATGACAATGACTCATTGAATTGGTCGGAACTATTCAATATTTTGATTGGAGATGCAATTTAAATAGGGATAGTTTCGTAGCTAAGATACTAATGAATTATATGACGATAATACCCTAGATTATAATGGATAAAAGATTACAGTTTCTAAGGGTGCATTATAGGGGTCAGTGATATCACCTTTTCAATTCAACATAAATCTTAAGTTTACTAAGGATGCATTGTAGTCTTAATCAACTCGTGCTATTTAATAAGGAAATCTTATGATTTTCGCCTATGATATTCCTAACATATGTCAAAGTAGATGAAATCTGGAAAGACTATAAAATTAATTAGAGTATTTGGATGTTATCCATCGATTAAAACTAAATAGTTATAGACGAAATTCATACAGATAGATAGATTATAGGAGAAAACAGATTCGATGAAATAGATATTGTTAAACAAGTGAAATATCTTGGATTCTAATTATCATTATCTAAGTAAGAATTGGTTTAGAGTGCAGCAAGTCATAACTAAAAATCTATGTACCCTTCAGCAAAGGATATATAACAAAATGCGTTGAGATTCAAACAGCATTAATTAATTCAAATAACAAAGTCTTATGATTTACTATCTGAGACCACTTAGAGCAGCATTAATTATATACAACTTATTGATCAAAATATACAATGCATACCTGATTAGGAGATTCCATCTCTAACTAATTCAAATTAAAAGTAGTGGGAAATATATTTAACTAAGTTAATGCAACTAAACTGGGGTATAATAATATAATATCCCCAAATATAAATTGAAAAACTAAAATAAAGCAACTGTTTAAGGGGAGCTAGCTAGAATAAATTCACAAGGAATCACAACACTCAAGAAAGAATAAAGAATAAGCATGTGAAGATAGCAGAAAATGTTTGTCACCGAAGAAAAGCAGAATATTATGCTATCTATAAGAAGGAATCACCCGAAATTTGAATGGCCACTAGTATTATTGCAGAATATTAAAGTCTATGAGAACTAAAACTATTTTAAGATTTGCATGCTTGATGAAAATGTTGAAGAATTAGTTAAGTTTATTAGAAACTTGGTAAAGAAAAAAGTTAACCTAAATTAGAAAGATTGAAGTGGTTGATCTCCAGATTTTTGTAGTTTGGCTTGGAAATAAAATAATGGAAAGGAAGATTTTGGAAATTTCACGAATTATACTTCAAAACTAAAGCTGTGATTGTAATCAGCTGAATAGATTTCTCATTATCTGAATTAATAGATTACCAATAAAGACTATAATAACCAAAATATTTCAAAAAATTGGCTCTATAATACCAAAAATGTTGTATAAAAATCAAAATCCTTGATCTAGATTACTTTTGGCGTTCGCATTATTGCTCATTACCCAAATTGAAAATCTATAGACTGGAGTTCTATTTATTGACATTTACGAAAGATGGATTAATAGGAGAGATAGATGAGCATTTTTTGAAAATGTAGCAACTGAGATTAAATGATAAAAATTATGGTGTCAATTGGTGATAATTTTTAGTTAATTTAATCATAATTATGACTAGTATTTACCTTGAATTACTCCTTCATGAAAATATGTATTCTATTGTACTCGTGGGGTTTTGGGGTTTTGGGGTTTTGGGG